TGTGGCTCCAAGAGCTTTGGGCTCGAGTCATCTCCTCTGGCCTTTGAGCATGGACTTTCCAAACGACGAACCATATCACACCGAAGATACCTTTGGTGCATCTTTGTCCTTAGACCACGCTTCATGTTCCCCCCGCTCCCATGCACCATGCACCCTTGGGGATGCTCAGTTGTGCTCAGCGAGCAGCGTAGGAACACAGTCACAACCCTATGCTGCTTCTTCCCACGTCACCTATGCAGCCTTCACAGCCTGTGCTGTGCTGACAGCCTGCCCTGTTGTTCCTGCTGGGCCATGGCTCTGCTGGCTCTCGCCTGCTGGCTCCTTCTCTTCGCCTGCACTGAGCGTGAGCAGCTCGCTTTGCTTACCCGGGTGTTGCAGACGAGTCCAATTACTAGAGTTCAGCAAACTCTGATTCCCCTCCCTGGCATTTCATCCAGCCCACTTATCCGCCGAGAGTTTCTAATCCAAACAGCCTCCCAGCACACGATGTTCCAGTGCTCCCAGGCTCTACCCAGCCTCTGTCCTGCCTTCTCCTCCCTCACACGAGCACTTGGGGGATGACATTCAGACCCTGGGGATGCAGAATTCACTGGGTGGAGGGGAAGCAGTGTCTCCAGCAGCCACCCCTGACGGTCCAGATCAGGACATCATCCGGGGCGGGCTGGCAGCTCTCTGAGATGAGCCAAATTTCAGCTCCTCTGCAGGCCCAGAAAACGTGCTGCCTTGCTCAGCTGGCCAGCTCATCCCCTGCTCAGCTCTTTTGCCCACAGCACCAACACCGTCTGCAGTCGTGTCAGCCTCCTCCCTTCCTCACATACCAGCTGGGAAGCTGCAGTGGCCAACTCTGCCCCAGGGGACCTGGATACACCAGGGAAGGGAAGGAGGGTGTGCTGTGCAGGAGGCAGCTGCCTGTGGCCGTGGCAGGAGAGAGGGGTCCGGCTCCATAACACCCAGCAGCTGTGGACCACCAGGTGAGTCTCCTTCCAACTGCCCAGGGGTGCACACACACACATCCCCCACCACGCTGCCTCTGCCACCGTGGCCAGCACAACCTGCAAGCCAGCAAGACTTCAGCTGAGCACCAGGACACCAACACATCTTTCCAGCTGCCTTCCCCACTTGCCCCATGCTCCCTGCACTGCCCCCCACTGCCAGTCCTCTTCCCCACTCCCTCCTTTTCAGTCCTCCTGGGCACTCCTTGCCTAACTCACTGGCTCCTGGTGGCAGCTGCTGGCTAATGACAACCAGATGTCTTGTAACTCCAGTCCCTCCAAGCAGCAAGAGCCCGGGGTTTGCCTTTCAGCTCTCCAGAGAGCCACAAGTTCTGGCTCAGCTCAGCTCCACGGGGCTAGTAGCTCCTGAAATCCCCATTCAGAGGCTTTCATTCATGAAATACAAGGCAGCAGCCCAAGTGCAGGACTCTGCCCCTCAAGGGACACAGGACTGCTGGCAGTCTTTGGCGGGCTGTGGCAGCAGTGCCCAGTGGAAAGTACTGTAGGGAACAGGGCAGGAACAGCATGAGCAGGGAAAAACCTCTGCAGCCTGGCAATGCGCTGAGAAGAAAATGCCCCGCAATAGTTACTGGGACTGGAGCAGGGAATGTAAACAGCCCAGCATCCACAAGGAGGTCATAACCTCAGAGTCCGGTTTCCCTTCCTCTTCTCCCTCCTGCCTAATCTCCAAGAGCTGCTCTGTTTACTAGTGAGATAAGTAAACAAACAAAGGAAAGCTCCAAAGCAATGATTTTTAATTTTTTTTTTTAGCCAAATCACTGCATGCCCCGGTCCCAGGGTGCGCGCGTGGGAGCGGTCTCTGCACGCCACGGCATCTGGCACACAGCAATGGAGAGGCACAGCCAGCAGCAGAGGCAGGCAGGCAGCCGCCGGGGGCGGGGTCCCCTGCCTCGCCTGTAACGTAGCTGTGCAGAAGGGCAAAAGGGGGAACTGCGTTACCCTGGACAAACGCATAGCTGGACTCCAGGGAGCCTCCAATTTAAGCAAGATGGAAGAAAACAGACAAACAGACCCCTAAAGGTGGGGAGAAGGGGGAGAGAAGGCAGCATGGAACAGTGATGTGCCTGGCCAGCACAGTGGGGCCCAGCACAGCCAAGCCAACAGCAAGGCAAACCCTGTTACCCTCTACTGACTCTCTCCAGGGGCAAAGGATGAGACAAGCTCATCAAGGAGGGAAACTGACTTCCAGCCAGGGCAGGTCACCCCCCAAGTACATGCAGACAAACCCAGCTGCATGGCCTTTCACTAGGCATTTGTGGGATGCGGTGAGCTTCCTTCCCCAGGCTGGCAGGCACTCTGGCTTCCACGCACACAGGGGCACTTGGGGAAGTGGCAGGAGGAGAGAGGTGTGGAAGAACTCTCAGCCCAGCCCAGGTGTTGGGTGACAAATCTCCTGCAATAAATACATCCTCAAGACCCAGCGCACCAGCTTGGTGGTATCTTGCTGGGACTCAGCAGTCCCTGGGTGGCAGCTGGCTGTAGGGTAAGTCCTGAAAGAATCAGACAAGCACAAAAAAGATGCAATGAGCACCAAAGCCCCCACAGGCCCCTGCAGGAAGCGTTCGTTGAAAGCTTCCAGCATAAACCAGTTTGCTTTGATTTCCTAATCTAAAACAACAGGACACAGAGCAGAGCCACGGAGTAAAGCAGGACCGCAGTGAGAATTACACCATGGCTCCTGCCTGCTCCCTGGACACAGAGCTCCAGGAACTAGACACAAAGGAGCTACATTCCTGCCTTATCCAGGGCTGGTTCTGGCTCTGCCAGCAAGAACAATTGGACTGCCAGGAACTGCGCCTTTCCCACCTCATTTGCTTTGGCTCTTTGCATCTAGAACACCACACGGTCCAAAGTAAATCCCTGCATATGGGCTCTCCCTGCTGCTCGGCACAGACCCGGCTTCTCCCTCCCTCCTGCCCTGCATTCCGTCGCGCAGGCCCTTCCTGACACCAGCCCGCAAAGTTCCCCTCCATAGAGGCATCAACAGCAGCATGCAGGCCAGGTGCCTCCCCTCACGGAGGTAACCTTGCTGCTCCGCCCATGCCGGACCAAGGGGCCCGGCCGGCACACACCTCCCGACCTGTGCCGGGGAGGGCTACGCCAGGCCCAGCGCCCACCTCAGGGGGCG